GTTGTTGTTCCTACTACGCAGATCTTCGCAAACATTCCAAGACAGTGAATGCTTGCCTCAGGTGGCTGTTTAGACTTGCCGGGGTTGCTACGCAGTCACTGCCATTCGATTCTTGTGAGTGATCTCAATTGTCTAACAGCAGTCTCAAGGGCGCAATCCATGTCAGCCCCACACGCCTCCAGGCGGCAGTTGATGATGAATGGTACCCATTGTATACATGGGTTTCTGCATCTAGCCTTTGAACATGCTGCTTTGTCCAAATAGGGGAACCTTCACGATCGGTGGTTTACTGCTGGTTCCCTTTTCAACAACCCCAAAGGGTACCCTCCTGCTGCCATTTATTTTCCGAGCCTGATGTACGCATAGCGCGTACAAAGGGTATTCCCACGCTTGCTGCACACATCGCCCAAAACAGCCCGCCTCTTGCTCCGTTGCATTAACCGCCGGACTATTCTTGTATCGGAGTATCATCATGGGCACACGCTTGAAATATCTTGGAACCCCCTGTTTTGATCCCAAGGGGAAAATGTTAGCGTTTGCTCTGACTGCGTGCAGTATCGAGAACCTGTTGACTTTCGGTTGGGGTGAGGTGGGGTGGGGTGGGGCAGGGCTGGGCTGGGCTGGGTGGGTGGCATCGTGCTGCTTCACAAGGTCTAGCCCTCTACCCTGGCGATTTGATGAACTTTGCGATACGGGTTGCTTCCTTTTTCTTAGGACCGAGATCTCGTGATGCAAGAGTCCGCTACAACTCCGGCCTATGCGCAAATCGGGCAGCCTTCTTCGGGAGTTGGAATGTGAAATGGAATCACCCTCCAAAACAAAGAAGCAAGCGGATGGGCGCTGTTCACAGCTGACTTCGTGATCTGGTCAGCCAACCTTGTGAGACGTTGGTTTAGCATAATTAGCAACGCTATTGGTGGGTGATGCATCATATCATGGTGTGTTGACAGTTGGAACAATGGTAGCAAGCTTCAGGGATTAGAAGTTACATGCAAAATTCACGTATTGATCTAGTACCATGCTACTGCATGTGGTGTCACCGTAGTAATAAGTCCAAGTAGCTATATGATGCAATTGACTTCTTTTGATGAGTATCTCGGAATATAGCATGGTCTAAGATTGGTGCTGTTGCCAACTCGCGCATTGTTATTGTGTGCGTTCTTTTCTCATAATGTTGAACCGCGGAAATTAGTACCACCCGCTACTCAAGATTATTGCTCAAGCAATACTTCAAATACCGTCATTCCCAAAATCACTGCCTTCTAAATCACTCGTTTGTCAAGCTGGGCCAATCCTTGGTTGACGTTGGAAGGGCAACAACTTAAATTTTGGCAGTTAAGTGGGGATTTCCCACTAAGCCACAATAAGCATGTAAAATGTTTCCCAACAACAACCATGAATCCAACAGCGGGCTTCCACACGCCCATGGGTCAAAATCCCGTACCCCCAGTGAACATCCCAACCCCCACCAAAATCCCGACTAAAATGGGTGGTGAATTCACCTACCTCAAAATGGGATCCCAAAACTGTTTTGACAGCCACAGCCACATAGGCAGACACACTTCGCCCCGCGGACCTGCAGCCACAGAGCCAATCCCTGGACTTGCAGCGGAACTGGCCATCCACCTCGACACGACTCGAACGGGCGCTTGCGGCTCACCCTTAGCTTTGAAGGGGTGTGGCTCAAAATTTAAGAGCCAGGGTAACGCATGTTGGCCTTTGTTTCCATTTACCAAGGGGCCATTTTGGGTACACTTTTTTGAGCCACAGCCAAAGGGGAACAGGAAAGCCGCCAGTTTGGGGGTGCCCATAGTTTCACAACTATAAACTACCTGGCCCCCCTTTGAACACTGTTGGTTTCACGGTTGGCTGCCTTCAAAAGCTGCACCCAAGAAAAGCCCTAGTTTTCACATTCACAGCCCCATTTGGCATCTTGCCTTCTCCGTGTTTTGTGGGTGTGTCAGATACGGAACACCCTCACCCCTGCAACGTTTCATCTCAAGCAAGGGTCAGGGGGTCCCCCCAATTGAATTGTTAGGAGACGGCTTCGCCTGAGGTGCCAAAGCAAAGGGAGGTTTAAGGTGACGGGTCAACTCTCAGGGCACAGACTTCTGGGCTATTCGAAATGGAGGGATGGTCAATCCGATTGTCCGCAATCCGTAATGGAAAATGACTACTAGCGTCATTGCCTGCATGCACACCACAAACGAAAACCACCAGTGGGACACCACGTCCGAATTGTGCTCGCAACAATTTCGGAGCAGTGTAGCAAGCAGCGAGTGGGACGTGTTTGACAAGCCATTCTAATTAAGGCAGCATTCAACAAGAGAAGCTGGCGCTCATTCTAGTTGACGTACTGTTACGTCTTTTTGGACCAAAGCCTGAATTAGTTGCACAAACAAGTGTAAAGACCGGGAACTCGGGAAGTGAGGCTATTGCCATACTTCGAGGCTTGCGCAGAGACTGGAAAAAGCCAAAGAATGGAAAATATCCCCAGTACCCTGATACACAGCTGATGCATTGACTGATTGACTATGGACATAGCGGCCAGGCGTTTGTCCTTTTACCACTGAAACTCCCAACCAAAAGGCACTGATCATGGCAAAAAGGAAAGCAAAAAGGCAACAAGCAAGCAGGCAGGCAAGCAAGCAAGTACAACTTGGATGCGCTGACCGGCCACTTTCGTCTTCACTGATCGCATCGATGAGCTTCTTAAGGCACAGCCGTTTGGATGACAAAACAGCCTTTCCCCCCCCCACACTGGCTTGACAAATCAAAGATCGATACGTTGGATGCCCCAACCGAAACGCATTGTACTTTACAGGGTTTCCCGTGTTCCCCATACTTGCAATATACTTTGGGCATTCAACGTAACACGTTTAACCCGTCCTTGAAACTGCAGGCAGGTAGGCCTTGTTGAAATCATAGATCAAAGCTGAAGTTAGTATCCACTTCCTGAACCGGACTGAGTGATGTCTGTCACGCGGATGGGACAAACATCTTTCTTTCACCAGCAAAAAAAACGCGTACCCGTCTTCCAAGAAAACAAAAAACCCGACGGCCTCGCCGCAGAAGGGGCCCAGAGCGTCCGGCTCGGGCGCCGAGCGGCGCTCTTGGACCATGGCCCGGTTCACCGCACGCCGGAGGAAAATGAGTCAGATGGCATGGGTCAAAAGCCCACTAATCCCCAGTGAACATCCCAATCCCCACTAAAATAGACTAAAATGGGTGGTGCACCTATCCCAAAATGGGCTCCCATTGGTTTTGAACCATGGTCAGATACAAACACCTTGTAACCTTGTAGCCTCCGAAAAAAAAAAAAAAAAAAAAAAAAAAAAAAAAAAAAAAAGCAACCTGGCAACAAGATGGAGTCCTAGGGCGCAGATGCTAGTCCTTCGCTTAGAATGCGCTAAGCATAGGCGAGATTGCAATGGATGGGTTTCAGGTGGGAATGAACCAAGCAGAGGTGCCTGAACCATGCTGCCGGAATTGCTGGTACCTTGAATGTTGCAAACCCGTGATTCTGACATCATCGCTTCTGGTTCATGCGAGTCGAACAACACTGTGTTCGTGGCCTGTTTAACTAGCTCCGTGCCAATGACAATGCTTTGCTGGGAGGGATTTTGCCAAACCATGCCAACAGCGTGAAACTCCACTTGGGGTTGTCTTTAAACGTGAACTGGCGAAATCCCGAGGCTTAAAAAGCTGGCAGCTCTCAACTTGTCCATGAAAAGGCACTGCACCAGCTGGAGTTGACAGTTTTGTCATGCCATGATCTTGAGTGGCAAATGCGAATTGTAGAGGCACGCCTGGCTGCTCCGGCCGACTGGTGCGCCTACACGAACAAATCAGAAGCTTGCGGCACGCACTATGGACCGAAACGCCAGCGGCTTTGCCATGCAGTCTTTTCTGGGCTGCTTGTAGGGTTAAATGGAACCACTTTACTCTGGAGATTGCCCACCCATGAACCATGGTTTCTGACACAGTGACTTGCAGCTGAATTCACCGCACGTGGTAGTCGACACAAGCCACAAGTGGGCTGCATTTTCCCGAAGGAGCACATCCTCATACATCCTGAATATATAAGAGTTGCGCGTGTGTGGTCAAGGTAACTGTGCCTATCTGCCAATGAGCGCATTGTCCCTGCCAATGGGGCCCAGGAGGGCCCAGGTTTCCTGTGGGGCAAACGCGGCCCAAAGCCCCATGACATGAGGGTCGTTGAAAGGTCTTGAGGGCTCCTTGGAAGTATTGAGGGCGCCAGGTTCAAGAAAATCTACATGCCTTCCTCGAAAAGAAAAACAGTGCTGGGAAGGCAGGAGTCAATTGGAGAATATGCTAGATGACTAAAGGGGAAGGGCTTCTTCCCTCGGCACTGGCACTTCTTTGCCTCGCTCTGGCGTGCTATTTCTCCAACTGACCCTAGCTTCGTTCGGGACATGTGGGTGATTGAAGGCTAACATCAAATCATCAGGGCGCATGCCTAACCCGCGCAACTTGTTGGCCAAACATGGACAACATTTTGCCAAGGACGGCGTCAGAACAACCCGCCGCGAGTTCGTCTTGGAATCTCAGTCCATCCAAGCCACAGATTATTGTGCAGCTAGGCCGAAGCTCGCAGTGATTCAAGTGGCGAGCCTGGATCAAGTCAAAACCAAATCCCACCTAATTGCCCCAAAGAATTGACCAACTCTGAGGGTTGCCCGAGCACTGCTGGATCCCCAGTTGAGCACGTCAAGGTGTTTCCTATAGGCTCAGGTTGTTCCGAAATCAACCGACACCAGGTGTCATGGAAGGTTTCACACTGCGCTCTCTTTGTTCAACCTCTAAAGTTGGACGTGCGTTCCTGAAGGTCACTACTTCTTTTTTTTGGGGCTCAAGCACAGACTCCAAATCAGCTAAACATCCCACCTTCCGCGCAAGATACACTACAAGAACATCAAAGGATGGTCAGGCCATGGAAGCCAACGTCCCGACAAACGTGGAGGTCTCACCAGCCCCGCCTGCCGGAGCCGGAACAGCGCCTGTGGTTGCTCGGAGGCGAATGAATGTTTCAGGACAATACATACATGTTGTATATATGTATGTGATGTGTATATATATATAAATAAATATATATATATATACATCATATTTATATACATGACAAACATTGCTTTATATCCGCCGAGATTGTTCGGCGTGAGGATAACCCCGCCCTATCCCCCCCCCCCCCCGGACACGTCAAATACATAGGGCCTCCCTCCCCCCCCCCACGTACCGCGCGGTAATTTGAAAGCGCAGTCTTCGGGGAGTGGGTCTGGAGAAATGTCCCAGGCTCGAACCCCCTGACTCTCTGCCGGCTCGCTCGGGTTTTGCGGATTCCTTTGGCTGAAAACATCCGAAAACACGGCGGTGTTCGACTTCCGTTTGCTGAAAACATTGGAAAACACAACTTCATTTTCCTGAAAGCATTGAAAAACACTCTGTTTTTCGACCTCCTTCAAATGAAATGTAATGGACATGCAGATGATGAATGGGATACGACGGGGAAAAGAAAGGGACCTGCAGGGGACAAGTACTGGAAATGAGAGGAAGCCTAGCGGGAATGACAGACAGGCGCAAGATGTTTAGGGGGAATGACGGGGAAACGGGGGGGAAACGAACGGATTGGCAAATCGTTGGATATGCAGGCAGGCCCCCCGCGCAGGGAGCTGTAGGGAAATCAAGGGAAGTTAGATAAGATCGAAGGGGAGCTGAAATTGGAAACGAAAAGGACAGGCACTTGGCATGCGGGGCATCAAGGAAAAACGAGAGGACATGACAGGTTGGGGGACAGAGCCCAAGCGCCCTTCCTCTTCTTGAGCTCCTCCAGCTCCTTCCTTGGGTCAGTTGAGCAGGCAATGAGACTCATCGTCCTCCTGTGTGCCTTCCTTTTCTGCCAAAAGGATCATCTTTGTGGCCCAGAACTTGCCCTCCACAAAAGCCACACTTTCGAAAAAGGAAAACCACCTCATCAACCACCTCAGCAAACCAAGGTCATGGTCTGGAAGGTTTTCTTACTGGTGTTCGGCTGGTTTCCTGAAAGGGTTTTGTAGGGTTTTGTTGAAATATGTTGGCCTTAGAAGAACACCCACTGATTCGTTGAAGCCCCGCAGGCTTCAGCACTCATTGGGGTCAGCAATCTATTTTGGCTTCGGCAGATCTACTGCCTTCAGGAAAGCCCATGGGTAGAAACTTGCAAAGGCCCCAAATACAAAGACTGAAAGGCTTCGGGCAGAACATAGTTTCGTCTATTTCAGGAAAATCGCTGGCCCCAAGAAAACCCACAGGTATTAAGAAAATCTGATGGCCAGGGGTCCCGTTGGCTGGAATCAAAGCCATTGTTTTCAAGAACCTCCATTGGATCGATCCACTTCAAAAAGGCCCATTGCTTTCAAGGAGGCCCGTTCATATCAGCAAGCCTCATTGGTTTGCACGCCCAAGGCTGTCAACTGACATGCTCTCAACGTGCTTGACATAGGCTCGCCTGCGCATAGCGGTGAAATTCTGAAGGCGACTAATGAAGTGGACAGGGACAGGAAATCATTGGTGCCAGGCACACCCCGTGGCTTCAGTCACGTGCTGGCCCAAAAGCCACAAGACAATCAGTAGGAACATTCGTTGGCTCCAAGACAACCCGTAGTTGTCTGAAACGGTCCCGCTGGCCCTGGTCAATTCCATTCTTTTCCAGGAGATCCAGGCTCTAGGAAGATCTGCTGGTTGCAGCAGAATCGATCGACTTCAGGGAAGCCTGGCATCAGGAAGCCTCATTGGTTCCAGAAAAATCCATTGCTTTCAGGAGAGACTCAAAGGAGATGCAACGGATGCGGCAAAACTTTTGTTTTCAGGAAAGCTCCCTGATGTTGGCTTCAGTAGATCTACTGGCTTCAGGAAAGCCCATGGGTTCCAGAAACATGCAAACGCTTAACAAAGACTGAAAGACTTCGGGACAAACGTAAGTTTCAGACCACTCCGTGTATTTCAGGAGAAACGTTGGTCCCAGGAAACCAATAGAAACCCACGGGCTCCGTCAGGCAAAGCCTTTGGCTTCTACGAACTTTCAGGCTGCAAGAACACTCTTGGCTGTGGGGAAATCCCTGAGTTTCAGGAAAATCCACAGGCTCCGGGCGGCTTCGGGAAAAAACCTCCTGCCTTCAAGGAAATCCGTTGGTTGCCAAAAAAAGAAGCGCAAACAGTTTCCCTCCGAAAGGGTTTCTGCAGGTTCCTGAGGCTTTTTTTTCGGGGGTCTTTCTGGAATGGTTTCTTTTAGATGTTTTGAAGGTAAGGGGGGTGTCCTCAATAGGTTCCTGCGAGGGATTCTCTGAGAAGGGTTCTGGAAATCCATGGGCTCCAACAAGATTTGTTGGTGGCAGCAGAATCGATCGATAAAGGCCCATTGTTTTCAAGGAGGCCCTTGGTGTGAGGAACCTCATTGGTTTCAGAAAAATCCACTGCTTTCAGGAGAGACCTTTGGCTCACAAGATGCATTGGCTGCAGCAAAGCCGAAGTTTGCAGGAAGCCCCCTTGGCTTCAAGAGACAACGACTCGGAATAACAAGGTGATATGTGTGCTTTAACGCTTGAAGGAAGAATGCCGCTCCATTGTGCTTGGCCTGCGCACGTCGCCCAAAAGCCAGCCACTCGGGTAGAGCAACCGCGCTGCAATGTCGGCGGACTGAGCCGGAGGCTCTAAAGAAAAATATATGCATCTAGTATAATTTAATCACAGACTGTGTACACGTGTTTTGTTGCGTATACTTTTGAGCAGGTATGTATGCACGTACGTACGTCTGTACGTACGTATGGATGTATGGATTGGCGGACGGACGGATGAGTGAGTATGTCTGTCTGCGTCTGTCGACTGCACGTGTGTCCATCTGGATGTATGGATCAATGCGTGCGTGGATGCATGGATGCATGGATGCATGTACGCATGTATGCGTGTGTGCATGCATGCGCGTAATAATGCATAAATGCAGGCATGAATGTACAAACAATTCAGCAATAAACACATAAATAATAAATGCATGAATAAACAAAAATGAACTAGACCACGGTTGGCCCGAAAGCAGAACATCGCAAGCGAGGTCGGCCCAACGCTGCAGCATGCGTTCTTTTTCCCTACACGAAGCATTCGTGAAGCAAGCGCGAGACAGCACCAGGCAAGGTGCTCTGTGCAAGTTGCTCTGTGCAAGTTGCTCTGCGTAAGTTGCTCTGCGCAAGTTGCTCTGCGCAAGTTGCTCTAGGCAAGGCGCTCTGCGCAAACTGGTCGGTGCAAGTTGGTCTGCGCAAGTTGCTCTGTGCAACTTGCTCTGCGCAAGTTGCTCTGCGCAAGTTGCTTTAAAATGCAAGTTGCATCTTGCGACGCCCGCCCGCGGACCAGGGAGGAATCGAACCCGCGACCCGCCGGTTCCGGGAGCAGGCGCGCGAACCACGAGACAACTCCCGAGGACCAGTTCGAACAACAAAAGTCGCAAAAAACCTCGAGTTTTTGCACCTCGACCACGCCGATCCCCGCAGAGGGTTGCGCGGGCACCGCAGAAATCGCAAAAAACCATGGGTTTTTGCACCTCGACCACGCCGATCCCCGCAGAGGGTCGCGCGAGCACCGCAGAAATCGCAAAAAACCTCGAGTTTTTGCACCTCGACCACGCCGATCCCCGCAGAGGGTCGCGCGAGCATGTTAGAAATCGCAAAAAACCATGGGTTTTTGCACCTCGACCACGCCGATCCCCGCAGAGGGTCGCGCGGGAACTTTAGAAATCGCAAAAAACCATGGGTTTTTGCACCTTGACCACGCCGATCCCCGCAGAGGGTCGCGCGGGAACTTTAGAAATCGCAAAAAACCATGGGTTTTTGCACCTCGACCACGCCGATCCCCGCAGAGGGTCGATTTTCGTGTAGTGTCGTCGGCACTACCCCGCCGCCCTAAGAAGAGATTTTAACTCCTCGCAAGTCAATTGCACTTGACTCCTTGCACTTGCAACTTGCACTTGACTCCTTGCTTGTTTCAAGGAGTCATTGCAAGGAGTCATTGCAAGGAGTCATTGCAAGGAGTCATTGCAAGGAGTCATTGCAAGGAGTCATGGCAAGGAGTCATTGCAAGGAGTCATTGCAAGGTCATTGCAAGGAGTCATTGCAAGGAGTCATTGCAAGGAGTCATTGCAAGGAGTCATGAGAGCCATTGCAAGTTGCAAGGAGCCAAGTGCATGGAGTCAAGTGCAAGTCGCAAGTGCACGGAGTTAAGTGCAAGTTGCAAGTGCAAGGAGCCAAGTGCAAGGAGCCAAGTGCAAGGAGCCAAGTGCAAGGAGCCAAGTGCATGGAGTCAAGTGCAAGTTGCAAGTGCATGGAGTCAAGTTGCAAGTTGCAAGGAGTCAAGTGCAAGTTGCAATCCTTGCCATGACTCCTTGCAATGACTCCTTGCAATGACTCCTTGCAATGACTCCTTGCAATGACTCCTTGCAATGACTCCTTGCCATGACTCCTGACTCCTTGCAATGACTCCTTGCAATGACTCCTTGCAATGACTCCTTGCAATGACTCCTTGCATGACTCCTTGCCATGACTCCTTGCAATGACTCCTTGCCATGACTCCTTGCAATGACTCCTTGCAATGACTCCTTGCAATGACTCCTTGCAATGACTCCTTGCAATGACTCCTTGCAATGACTCCTTGCAATGACTCCTTGCAATGACTCCTTGCAATGACTTTCATGATGATGATTCCTTGCAATGACTCCTTGCAATGACTTTCATGATGCTGATTCCTTGCAATGACACCTTGTACTGACTCTCATGAGAACAACTCAAGTAAACCCAGCGGAAGAACCCTTCGCCATGCTTTCGGGAATAAATGAATAAATGCATAAGTAAACATATTTACAATTCGTACATGCTTAATGTATGCTTGCCTGTCTATGTATGTATGTATGTATGTATGTATGTATGTATGTATGTATGTATGCGTGCGTGCGTGCGTGCGTGCGTGCGTGCGTGTGTGAGTGCTCATGCGCGTGCGCGTGCCCGTGCGCGTGCGCGTGTGCTGCGTGCGTGTTCGTGCGCGTGCGTGTGCGCGCGTGCATGCGTGCATGCGTGTGTGCGTGTGTGGGTGTGTGGGTGTGTGTGTGTGGGTGTGTGTGCGCATGCGCGTGCGCGTGCGGGTGCGGGTGCGGGTGTGTGTGTGTGTGTATGAATGTGTGTGTGTGTGTGAATGTGTGTGTGTGAATGTGTGTGTGTGTGTGTGTGTGTGTGTTTGTGTGTGTGTATGCCCGTATGTATGTATCTATGTATGTATGCATGCATGCATGCATGCATGCATGCATGCATGCCTGTTTTTGTTTTTATGCCCGTATGTATGTATGTATGTATGTATGTATGTATGTACGTACCGGTTCATGCTACCTTACGCATACACACATGCTCAACATCAAGCAAACCCACACAGTTGTTTGCCAGCGAACAATCAGTCAAAACAGATGTCCGTCCAGATCATCATTCTTGACGTTCCCACGTTCGTTGCTCGCATCAAGCAAAAGTGAGGCTTCAAATAACCTGAAAAGGGGCATGTAGAGACTCCCTGGCAAAATTTATTCGTTTGGAAAACTGTACCACTGTATGCCATGCAAACTACCAGAAACTCACGCTGATCGTTCGCTCTTATGTCTCACTCCTGGCCAAGCGTTGGGCAGGGTCCCTGTGCAATCTTTCCTGACGCCAATCTTTCATTGGCCTGCCTTTGGAGAGCTTTTGCAGAGGCCCAGCCAAACCTAAAATAAAATGGAAAGGGAAAGGACAATGGCAATATTTTGTTGCCAACGAATTTCCCCTTGTGTTGTTGTTGAGTGCACCAACAAAAGGCCGTCCATTTGTTTCTGAAGGCGGCAATGTTCCGTGCTCCAAAAGCTCCCAGTGCACTCGAAGCACCTTCTACCAATGCAGCCGTCAGGAGCATCACTAGCACCGGCACCGCCACCCAAAACAGGCACACAAACAGCCACGTTCAATCAAACAGCCACGTTCAAACATATGAGAAAGTGGCACTTCCGAAAGGACCCCACCACCCCATGTCATGCTCCGATTGCGCTAAACAAAAGCGCGACCCCAGCTGGCGCCTGAGGGTCTACTTGTGCTTGAGAAGTCTGCAAAGGCGCATGGGGCAAAAGGCAAATGAAGGGAGGCTCGAGTGCAAAAAACCGGTCCGTGGTTTAACACGTGCCATGCCGCTTGCTTTTGACGCGGCCATATCTTGCCCTGCTTAGACTTGATATTCCAAAACCATTCACAATATTTTCCTTACAGTTGTCTTTGAGGCAACCCAGTGCGTCGGGCTGTTGCCGGTTGACCACGAGCCCTCGAGGATGAAATCACTTGCCATTCATGATTTCGGGCAATGCAGCCAACATCAATTTGAGATCAGATTGACCAAAACGAGATTCACTTAAAATGTCAAATCCTTCATGCGGCTGTCTTTGTTGTAGCCGGCCAACTCTAGTCCACACCTTCAACATGAGTAGATGTAGCAGTGCTTCTTCCTGAGCACGCCAACGAACCCTTGGCCACAAAAGCCGGCGTGAAGGAACCATCGCAACAGAGGCAGACTACATTGAGCCAGCAAGCGTGCAGCTCTGTGTTTACCAGGGCAGCAATGTGTTCTTTGTACCTCTCCGGGATTGCCGTCATCAAACAGCATCATCAACATCCAGCTTTACTGGCAGGCTTTAGCACATCCTCTGCCCTGAAAGCGCGGGGAAGCGCCCTCTTAACGTGGGGAAGCCATCTCTTGACAGTGGCCATTCCGTGTGCTTCTGCAGTGTGGGCTGAACCTACTATAGGTCCAAGGGACGTTGGCAAAGTCCGAATGTTAGAAGTAAAAACGCCACACACCCTGCTTACAACCGAAGGTAGCAATAAACAGGCCCGAACAGCAATAAATGTACCATCCGATCTAATTGCACCCCAGAAAATTGCCCTGGCCGCCTTCAAACAGCATGCATTCTGGGATATGCAAAAGGCGCTACCTGAACATCTTTCATACCTCCCACATAGCCCTGCAAAAGGGTACTACAATCATCTTCCCCTGAAAGGAAGTGCGTCAGGTGCCACGGAGTGCCAAAACCCATCAGGCAATTTCCCCATACAGGTTCTCCCTCATAACCTGCACGTACAAACACCCCACTTCAAACAAACAGCGGACCCTGGGAACAGGCATTCCAGGTGTTCCCCTGGCATCGACTTTGGCCAACCCAAGCAGCTGACCTGGCGCAGGCAGCGCAGCCAACGCTGGGCCTCACAAAGCCAAAGCGCAAAGCGCGCGATCGGATCTACCGGAGGTTGGCAACCGCTTCTAGGTCCTCCAGTAGAGAGGTTAGCATAAGGGTACCAACTTTTCTTTGTAGGCTATTTTAGTAGGGGAACCCTCCCAAAAAAAAGTTGGTACAAGGGCACTACTGGGGGACCTAGCCAAGAAACAGCCGAATTTTAGATGGGAGAACGACCTTTGGACACTCCATGAAGGGATCGCCATTTCTCTTGGCAGAAGAAAGCGACTGTGTCGCTGGAGTTGGAGTTGCAAGTATGAAAGGGGTCCCCGGAAGGACGTCTGCCGAAGTGCGGGTGGTTCTCCCGGGCTCCCGTAGAGTGGGGTGGGGTGGGGAGCCGAGCGGAGTGGAGCTGAGTGCGAGTGAAGATAGTGACTCAAAGGCTGAGAATGTCGTTTCCGCTAACACCATGCTGGTTCGCTGATGCTTGCTGATCCAAGCCCAACAAAATGCGGCGAGCAAACTTAAAACGCAACAAGGCGGTAAGCTGAAACTTGCTTATGACTGCACCAGAAACTCCAAGCATTCAGAAAGTAGTTGTTGCACAAAATTACAAGGGCTGCAGGCCGGTCTTAGCCTATGGTTGCCGTCCCCGCTCCCCCGCTCCCCCCAGCCGCCAGGCTCACGCCAGCCCGCGTGTTGGAGGGCATCAGCCGAGTGTTTCTCAACAACCATTGTAACACCCGAGACACAATAATAGATTGTGATTACCATGACAGAGATAGTCTGCTCATTAGCGACACATAACAAGGAAACGCCCCCATGTCCCTCATGCATCTGATTGTTTTCACGCGATGGCAAACACAATGTGCTGCAGGAATCAATATGTTGGAACTGCGCGGTCATCGGGACACCCGAGAAATTCCACTGTCGAATGGTGATATGAGGCACATCTCCATTTTTAAGCCGTCCTGACAAAGCCCAGCTGCAAACCGACCTTGCAAAGTAAGAGTGTGGCCGAATCCCATCAAGTCAGCTTAGCTGCCCCGTTCTGTTATAGAAAAGATGGCTATCTCCTTCTGACTACTTGATCACTGTACAAACCCAACTTTGGCGCTCCGGCGTTTTGCCGTGTGGGGGGAGGTTTGACAGCTGTCGCAGGCCTCAGCATCATCCCGAGCCCACGCTAGCTTTTCCGCGCGCACGCACACAGACCGCGTGAAGATTCTCCACTTGGTGCGCGTCTAAATTTTACGCTGATCTTTGTTTGGCAAAACCCCTACGCGCTGCGCTATTTGGGGCCCCTGGCACCCGACATGTTCACTCATGGTTCGAACGGTCGAATCAGGTCTTCCAGGCATGCTTTTCGGGGCCCTCCACACCCGACATGCCTTCTTGCTTGGTCTTCCAGGCAGGAATTGGTGTGCCTAGCGCAGCAATGGCTAACACATGAATCGGCGCAATGATGGTCAATCTGCTGGACTTGTGGAGAGAAGTAGTTCCACAAGTTGTAAGGTTGCAATGACAAATAGCATTCAGATGGCCAAGTTGCAGGCGCTTGTGTACATGACACCTGGATCCCGCAAAGGGTGCATCTTTGTTGAACGGCCAGTGTGCCAGAGTTGAAACAAACAGCTCCAAACAAACTAACCAGCGTCTTGAATACCACAGGTAGGCGTCTTGATATTGGCCTTAGCAATTCTTCAGTGGCCAGGCCCTGACGAACAATGAGCTTTGTGTGATTGCGAGCAAACTGAGATTCCTTCAGACGGAATTTCCATGTTCCTTCAATCGTGGCCACCAAAACTCACCCAACGGCTCACTTTAAGCTGCCTTCACAGAATGGGCCAGCAAATGGCTATGCGCACCAGTCGTGGATTGAAATCCATTGTCATACTGTGTGTTTTCTATTGTGCGCCAGAAACACCGTCCCAATCCGATTCAGCTTGGTGGGCTCCAAAGCCTCCGTCTTTATGAAACTTACAAGTTGCATAGCGCCCTGCCAAGCTCCCCTCGGCAACCAACGTCCCGGGATCCTCGTGGGTGTTGTTCAAGTGTGCCCTATATACACAAAGTGCCTTTCTTCTTCTCAGCTTGTCTCACCTCGGGCCCACCTGGTTCTGCCTGGTTCTCAGGTGTTTAGGTGCACACAAATAAAACATCATGATAACTGTTTCAGACCGTCAACTCAATCACATGTATGCCCTTGACACAACAGTGAGAACAACGCCAGCAACAACTTATCAGGTGTACCCAGCTACCGCCTCAAAGAAACGGCCTCATGACTCGACCGTTCAGACAACCAGACCCAAGTGACAGCGAAACAGAAAGGCTGAAACAAGATCCGCCTGCCAGAAGGAGAACCTGCTCCAAGCCTCTCTTTCAGAGGGTGTGCAAACAAAACAACAAAAACTAGGTTTCATGCGGTTTGCTGTTGGTACAACCAATCCCAAAACTTTCATTTCCTTAAGCCCCCTGAAAAAATCAAACAATATCCGCCGACAACAAGGCGGCGTGTTGGACATAAGAAATGCTCCTTACCTCTTTACCTGTTATACCCCCTCCCCAGACCACGGTTTCAGACTATGGGGGGGTCCACGTACCACGCGGTGATTCCAAGACGTTCCACTAAATCCTTTCTTTTGGGGCTGAGTTGCGTAAAAACATTGGGGTGTTCGATTCCCCGGGTCCGCTTTTGCATCCTTAGCACCTCCTGGGCAACATCGCCAGCATCACCCCCCCTTGCATCATCCGCATCAGCACCTGCCAAGGATGCGGATGATGCAAGTGATGCTGGGGATGTTGCCCATGCTGCAACTGGAATGAAGTGATTGGAATCCATGATGGGTGGGACCCTGGTTCTTCACACAAGCCTGGACTGGTCCCAGGAGGTCCCAGGACCGGCACCAGGACCCTTCCCAGGACCGGTCCCAGGACCTGTCCTGGACTGCTTTGAGGACCTGTCCAAGACCGGTGCCAGGATCAGGATCGAGTGCTCAGATTTCACTGTGTCGGCTCGAACAGGACACGGCCAGCCCCGGCGCCACCTCAAACCGCTGTTTCCTCCAATGTCGCTTTTTGGACTGGTCCCAGTCCTGCCTGCAACCAGTCGAGGGCACCGACGGCCTTGTTTCTAGGACCACGGCCGACGAGCTGCCATCTGACTTTTCCGTTAATCCTTGTGGTATTCTGCAAGAGATTACCACCTTGGTCCTTTGGAGCAAGGCTCTAGAGCGAAGCTCTATGGGGCTGCCGCATGGTGCCGCCGACCCTTTGCATGCCGAGGATGCGTGAGAAGGAAAGTGATGAGCATCACCTGCATCATCTGCTTCTGGCGGGTGCGCTTTTGGGCTTGTTTTTGGGTCTGCAGCCTTGGGCTTGCAAGTCTGCGGTCTTGCCCCGGTGATGCGGGTGAGCTGGTGATGCTGGGGATGTTGCTGGGAGCTGCCTTCCACGCAGCGCCCTGCTGCAGCCTTGAAACACACGAAAAACACGTGAAAATGCAGGGCTTTTACTGCAAAAACCAAGGAAAACGTTTGGTTTTGACATGCGTTTTGCGTGGCAACTGGCCCAGGCGTGCGTGCGCGTGCGTGCAGGCGCGCGGGCCTGCACGCGTGCATGCGTGCGCGCACGTTCGCGTGCTTGCACGCATGCGTGCGTGCTTTCGTGCGTGCGTGCGTGCGTGCGTGGGTGGGTGGGTGGGTGGGTGGGTGGGAGGGTGTGCGTGTGTGTGTGTGTGTGGGGCGCTTGCGTGACGTGCGAGTGCGTGCGCGCGCGCGTGTGTGTGTGTGTGTGTGTGTGGTGGGTGCGTGGGTGGGTGGGTGTGTGTTGTGCGTGAGTCTGGTGTGTGTGTGTGTGTGTGTGTGTGTGTGTGTGTGTGTGTGTGTGTGTGTGTGTGTGTGTGTGTGTGTGTGTGTGTGTGTGTGTGTGTGTGTGTGTGTGTGTGTGTGTGTGTGTGTGTGTGTGTGTGTGGTGTGTGTGTGTGTGTGTGTGTGTGTGTGTGTGTGTGTGTGTGTGTGTGTGTGTGTGTGTGTGTGTGTGTGTGTGTGTGTGTGTGTGTGTGTGTGTGTGTGTGTGTGTGTGTGTGTGTGTGTGTGTGTGTGTGTGTGTGTGTGTGTGTGCGTGTGTGCGTGTGTGTGTGTGTGTGTGCCTGTGTCATGCGTGCGTGGGTGGGTGTGCGTGCGTGAGCGCGCGTGCGTGCCCGCGTGTGTGCTTGTGCGCGCGTGCCTGCGTGCGTGCGGGCGGTGAAGGGGACATGGCGAAATGACGGGAAATGGCTAGAAAATTGATGGGAAACGTGGAAGATGGATGGAAAACTGAGGGAAGATGTTTGGAAAATGGATGTGTGTATGTGTGCAAGTAAGGAAATGTAGGTATGTTTATGTTGTTGTTGTTGTCGCTGCTGCCTGCTTTGCCGTCCTTGCAAGAGCTGTCAGGTTGAGCCTCGCGATGCTGCTGCGGCCGGTTGTGCGCCAGCCACGTAAATCAGAGGCATAGCCGGCTAGAGGCCGCAGGCCCAGAAAATAAAAGAAAGGGAACAAACACAGAAATAAAGGCACATGAGCCGAAGTGAGGAAAGTGGAGGGAAATGAAGATGTTCGAAGAAGGGGGAAAATGTTTTCGGGGGGGAACTGGGGAGAAGATCGGGGGGGGGGGGGGAAGGGAAAGATCTTGGGGGACAAAGGCCTCAGGGGGGAAAGAGGGGAAAGGATCTCAACCGGGAAAGGGGGAAAAGATCTTAGCGAGGAAAAGGGAGAAGATCGCAGGGGGGGAAAGGCCTTAGGGGGGAAAGGGGAGAAATAATCTCAACAGGGAAAGGGGTGGAAAAGATCTTGGGGAGGAAAGGGAGAAGATCTGGGGCAAAAAAGGCCAACAAGGAAAGGGGGGGAAAAGATCTTAGGAAGGAAAAGGGAGAAGCCCTCAGGGGGGGAAATGCCTTAGGAGGGACAGGGGGGAAAGGATCTCAACAAGGAAAGGGAAAGATCTTAGGGAGGAAAGGGGGGCAGAGATCTTAGGGAGGAAAGGGAGAAGATCTGGGGGGAAAAGGACTTAGGGGGGAAAGGGGGGAAAGGATCTCAACCGGAAAAGAGGGGAAGGATCTTAGGGAGGAAAAGGGAGAAAGATCTCAGGGGGGGAAAGACCTTAGGGAGTAAAAGGGGGGAAAGCATCTCAACAGGGAAAGGGTGGGAAAGATCTTAGGGAGGAAAGGGGGGAAAGATCTTAGGGAGGAAAGGGAGCAGATCTGGGGGGAAAAGGCCTTAGGGGGAAAGGATCTCAACCGGAAAAGAGGGGGAGGATCTTAGGCAGGAAAAGGGAGAAGATCTCAGGGGGGACAGGGAGAAAAGATCCTAGGGAGGAAAAAAGGGAGAAGATCTCGGCGGGAAAGGGGGAAAGGATCTCAACCGGGGGAAAAGATCTTAGGGATGACAAGGGGGAAGATCTCACAGGGGCGGAAAAGGCCGTAGGGGGGAAAGGGGGGAAAGGATCTCAACAGGGAAAGGTGGCAACAGATCTTAGGGAGGAAAAGGGAGAAGATCTCAGGGGGGGAAAGGCTTTAGGGGGGAAAGAACAGGGAAAGGGGGGGAAAAGATCTTAGGAAGGAAAAGGGAGAAGCTCTCAGGGGGGGAAAGGCCTTAGGGGGGAAAGGGTGGGAAGGATCTCAACAGGGAAAGGGGGGAAAAATCTTAGGAAGGAAAAGGGAGAAGATCTGGAAAGGCCTTAGGGAGAAGGGGGGGAAAGGATCTCAACAGGGAAAGGGGGCAAAGAATCTTAGGGGGGAAAGGGGGGAAAGGATCTCAACAGGGAAAGGGGGGGGAAGATCTCAGGGAGGAAAGGGAGAAGATCTCAGGGGGGGAAAAGGCCTTAGGGGGGAAAGGGGGGGGGAAGATCTTTGGGAGGAACAGGGAGAAGAACTCACTCAATAGGGAAAGGTGGGAAAAGATCTTAGGGGGGAAAAGGGTGAAGATCTCAGGGGGGAAAAGGCCTTAGGGCGGAAGGGGGGGAAAGGATCTCAACAGGGAGAGGGGGGAAGACATTTTTAGGGGGGAAAGGGGGAATGGATCTCAACAGGGAAAGGGGGGCACATATCTTAGAGGGGAAGGGGGGGAAGGGGACAAGTCCAAAGGGACGCAAATAAGAAAGCAGGCCTGTAATGTCGGCGGCCTGAGCCGGAGGCGTTAAAATTTCCAGTAATGGTCGATTCCAATTAACACCAACCAGGGAAAATTAAACATATTCTGAAGCAAATGGAAGAAAACACATCTACCATTTACCTGGGCTTTGATTGCGGCTCATGTGGTTTGCTTTTGGTTCCACAACCAATCCCAAAAAAAAGAGGGGCGGTCCTGTTTAGCCTCAAAAAGCACGTCGGACGGCAGTGGAGCTGCTCCACGTGCGGTTCACATGTGCCTCGCCCGGCAGGGCCCACAGGAGAAGGCTTCCGGGGCCTGGGTCGGGTGCGCCGGCCTTTTGGGAAGGAACTATGAGCGCAAACAGAAGGAAGGAATAGAAGCAGGCAAGACGGACGAAAGAATGTGCGAAAGAATGAATGAAAGAAAGAATGACTGAACGAATGAACAATGAAATGAACCAGAAAACGACATAGAAGAACATAAAGACAAGACTCAATGACAAAAGAAACGATAGAAATCAATATACAAAGAAGGAAAGAACGAGAACAGAAAGGCAGGAAGAGATGCGGTACAGGTGCAGAGACAGGAAAGGTGGAGAAAGGGTGTAAAGAAAACAAGTTGAGCTCAAGATTGCCTGTTTCCTCCTGGTGTGAACGACGCCCAAGTGCCTGGCATCAACCAAAACACTGAAGCAAAGCATACTCATCCTGGGTGGAAGTTGAAGGCGTTGCCTCCCGGTTGGGCTCGCCAAAAAATACCCAGCTTTATTGCTTTGCCTGGTTGCGATATTTCCAAATACATGCCCGAAAGGGTTCAGCGCCTTCAAACAATACTGTACTTGGACACTTTAACCCCACATTGCCTTGATGGTGGCCAGGGAATGTTCCGGCTTCCACAAATTAAATTGGTGATTCTGGACAAGGGGGCTCCCTTTTCGTTTTCCCTCTCAACCAAACATAAATGCGTTCACTATTTTCAGGCCATTCCAGGGTCAAGGGCGCCAAAGACTTGGCGCAGACTAAACTGCCTTTTGGCCTGGCAGAACCAAGCGCGCCTGAATGCTTGTTTGTCATGTCTAAGCGCAGTGCAGTTCGCACGCAGCCATTCTTTTTCCCCGAGTCCGAGTAGGTGGATAAAACATTCCAAAACTGAGGGCAGGCAGTGCAGCGAACCCAGTCACCAGCAGAGGCCGAGACCGAGGGTAACCGAAGGGTCAAGCCAAAATGGCCCCAAGTAGAAAATGACAACCGAGAGTCAATCGAATGGTTCAAGCAGCAGCCAAGGGACTTGGCCCTAAGACATCCCTGTTTCACCAGACAAGTTTGGCCAACATGAGAATAATTTGAATATGCGTCCCCCGAAACTGGGCGATGTTCCTTTAACGCGTCTTCTGGGCCACAAATGGCTTTGCTGCCCTCACTACAAGTTCCGAATATGTCTGAATGAAGCGTCTGCCTTGACTTTTTGGGGTACATGTGCGTGTGCTGTTGTTGAAGTTGGCAACAGGGAAATCACCCAATAGACTTCCCCATTTAGAGTGGTTTCTGCTAGCAAGAATGACACCTGTGCTCAAGTGCCTCCAGGTGCTAAGAACAGTCAAAGGCATTTGAAGGTCCATGCGTCGTTTACCCCCCTCCAGCCAAACAGCCCAACCAACAAGTCGGATCGCCCAAGCCCGTCTTGTCTCCCAGGCCAGCTTTCTCAAAACCAGCGCCGCCTAGCAGTTTTTGCTTTTGCGTGTCTTTTGCTTTTCAGCTAAACAAAGACATGCAGGATTTGTTGCTGGCTGGTGAGATCTGGCTTCAGTCTATCAAAACACATGAACCAAGGAACATTTACCGTGACCCATGAAGCCTGGCATGCCTAGATGTGTGGTTCACCTTATGTGGCGTGGCATCTGGGTGCTTTCCGCCGTGCACTGCGAGAATGTCTGGTTCGTCTGTCTGTCACGCTAGCTCCACCCCAAATGAACAAGACAAACCATGCGAAATCTTTGACACCTCTGGAACCCAAGCCCCCAGGGGCCCGAGCGGTGCACTCTTGGCCGTCACCCCCTGCGGCTGCTCCTCAGCCTGAAGGCTGAAATGATCTTGACGTACCAAGCTTATCCAGGCCAGAATGGCCCTAACTTGCTTGATTTAGGCATTGTCATGCTTGTCATGTTCTCCGACTAACCTGTTGTGTGGTACACCTCTTTGGCGGGGGGTTGTCTAGAGTGAGGGGAACCAACAGGATACCAACTTGGCATCCAATTAGTTGATGAAGCATTTCTCCTTCTCCTCCTTCTCCTCCTCCTCTGCTTCTTTTTCTTCTCCCTTTTCTTCCTTTGCGGTTGTTGGCAAATATGTTCAATGGGAACCAAGCGGGCTTTTCTTTTCGCTCCATAGAGGTTGCCTTCCAAGATGGAGCTGGCTTCTCCAGATCAGCTCCGTCCGAGTGCTCCCCGTTTCAACGGTTTGAGACCCTGACAAAGCAGACGTCGCTCCGGAAATCCTCATGGAACTAACAGCCTCGCCCAGCAAAAAGCAACCGGCAAACAAACGAGTAAACTTGCTTGGTTTCTTGCGGCGCAAAATCCTATGAGGCCCTGGCTGAAGTTAGTCAAAACCGGTCAGTCAAACCCTCACTCCAGTTGAAACCCTCAAACCAGCCACAAACACTACAACATGAAGAGGGCACTAGCAAATTGGATCGGCCCGGGTGGCCCCCATGTCCTCCTCCAACTTACGCTATCAAACTATCAAGACTTGCATTTGCTCAACTATCAAGTCGTCTAGCCCGGCAACATGAGATGAAACTCTAGGTCCTCCAGTAGAAAAGGTTAGAAGAAGGGTACTAACTTTTTTACTGTAGATTTCTTTTTAGTAGGGGAACCCTCCCAACCTTCCAAACATTAGGGCACTGGGCCGAGAACTGGAAACTGATACCCACGTCGGAAAGCGACCCGCCTGTGGTGGCTTCCAGTTCACAGGGATGCTATTGGCGCCGGTGCGCTTCTCCTCAAAGATGCGAGAGTCAGGAGCTGATATATCCCATTTGTCACATAGATATACAGGTCAAATATATATATATATATATACACATATGTGTATATGTATTATATTATATATATATATATATACAATGTGCATATCATATATGTGTAGTGTCCTTTCTTTCATGCATGTTGTTTTCATTAAACTAACCCCGCGCATGCATGCTGAGTTTGCTGCTTGCTTCACCGATGTCACCCGAACAGTAGAACCTCCCTCTGAAATCGTAAATATGGACATGACTACGCTTCACAGACTTGCAGGAAACAAGCTCTTGGAACTCAGGTACATTGCTTGACCGATTGTCCGGTCTCCGAATCCTTGAATCCGTAGATACACGATCCCTAGATCCCATGCTGCTTCTCACCATCTGTGTGACCTATTGGGTCCGAAAAAGGGCCATGGCTCCTCCCGTCACAGCCCAAAGCCCTGCCACGGGACGTCGTTTTCAGAAGTCTCCAAGAGACGCCAGAGAAGTCTCTGAACATAGCGGCTGGTATCAGGAGGGGTTATTTTGTGGATTCAGGCATTCAGTCTTCGGTGTTTGTTTTGGCACAGCCTCTCTGAAAGGCCAAGAAAGGCTAGACTACTATAATCAATCAGATGGGTGCCCCGGAAAATAGGCAAGCATGTTGCTTTGCTGGAAAGCCCGCTACCGCCGAAGCGAGAAACTGGCCAACAAAGGACTAGAAACTATCCTGCAACTTGTCCAACCCTTTGCAGACGGTCCAGCGCTGACCTCTCCTAAATAAGCTTCACCATCCAACCAGGACACTCCTTTCAAGATCACGCACGTGGTGCATCAAGGGTCAAGATCATCTGACGGCTCAAAGCTGTTGTCATGCAAAGAGTACGTCTTGGTTGCTCAAACAAACTGAGACGCAAAGGGGATGATTCTGCTGAACAAGTCTTGGTTGACGTTGGAAGAGGAGCAAACAAAATAAATTTTAGCAGTTCAGTGGGGATTTCCCACTAAACCACAATATGCAAAATGTAAAATGTTTCCCAACAACAAACATGAAGCGAGAAATGGAGAGCTGATCGCATCTCTTCGTCACGCGCAAGCGGTGCCCTTTTTGCTTCGCGGAGTGATCGGTCACAGGGCCCCAGTCCCGGGGAAGTTTGGGCCCGGAGTCAGCTCAAGCCTTGGGATGTGTCCCGGACGAGCTTCATCCCCCCAGTCACTAAGTGTCCGTTCAACTTTGGTTAACAATTCCTTTAATCCCAGCAAGACCAACCTTGAATTTCAATATGCCTCTTTGCTTCGCCTGACACCGGAGCCTGCCTCCTCGACTGTCGAGTCCAAATAGGAAACCATACCCTTCACCCGGAGATGAACCCCCTGCACTCTTTCCGCTGTGTTGGAAGGCAAACCCTCAATCCTGCAGCCAAACATGAAATGCCAACGCCTGAAGTGACAAACCCAAATAAGAACTCTTCATGCGACTGGAATCGCTAGCGCTCTTTTCTGCTGTCTGCAAGTAGGAAGAAACCCACTAAGTTGGTTTCGCCTCCAGGTTAACTTTACAACCCCAAAAGGACGCACCCATGACAAACCTCGGCCTTGACTCAGACAGGCTGCCAAGACTGGAGCACACACAAGGTCAAACTGGTCAACAGCGCTGGACAAAACCAGCCTTGGAAGGGTTTAAAGCTCGATGCGGCGCCTTTTGAAATAGGGATCCCTCAAAACGGTTTGTTGCTTTCCTGTGTATTGTTGACAACCTATTCAAGGTCAAACACAAAAAAGACACCAACCAACAACCCAAGCCCAGAGTACACCACAAAACCATCAACCAAGGGCCTCCCGTTGTGCTATCCCCCAAAATCCTTCTTGCCCCAGGCCATTGCAGACGTAAGCTGCTGGTGTGGCCTGACAACTGCGCTTACAGCCGCTGCATTCTGCATTCGCCAGCTGCCAGCCCCAAAAAAAAAAGCGCCGTGTGGGCACAAAAAGATGACCTTTCACTAAGCACTTTAAATGCCTTGGTATTGCTTAATGTCAGGACAAATCGAGAACCCTGCTCAAGAAAGGCGGTGTTTCAAAGACTTAGGGCCATCCTGCCAATCGCGCACAACTTTCCATTGGACAGTTGCTTGCGATGTGGCTCCTGTTTTCTTGCAGACCCCGTGGTTATGATGCTCAGCTAAAAACGGGAGCTGGGCCAAAAAAAGACTGGCCTTTTGGGAACCTGACTGCAAATGGATCAAACCAAAAGGTCAAGAGGTCGGCTCTGAAAGTGTAAAAGTGGGTTAACATGACATGTTAACCCTGCGTGTCCTTCTTCAGTCACTGGGGGTCAGTTCCCCAAATGGCACCCCCCATGATGGAACTGGATGAGTCGATGAATGCCTGAAACGCGGTCCATTTTGCCCCACGATGGCCCCCCAAGTAAAGGAGAACCCCTGACGGGGTCCCTCTTGCCCCATGCAGAACGCCGCCCCCCGGTCGGCGTCGCCGTCGGAGAGCGGCGAGCGGCGAGCGGCGAGCGGCGGTCCGCACGGGCCAAGTGAAAGCTTGAAGTCTCAGCCCCTCGAACGGCGGGTTCGCAGAAAACCGCAGCAAATCAACTGATTCCCATCCAAGGGTCAATTTGATGGTGGATCTTGTTCCACCCACCCACCAAACGAAGACAAACACAGCTTGACATGTCAAGACTTTGGCTTTCAATCAGTGAAGGCGCAGGCGCTCCTTCAAGGTTCCCAAAGAACTTTGCCGCTTTGCGAGGGGCTGTGATGTCCTAGGCGCAACGAATTAGTCCGCATGCTCTGCACCTGTCTGGGCTCGAAGCTACAAACTGAGACCCCAACATGCTCAGGACACAATTAGACTCTCAGGTAGAAACCCGGAGGCATGCGAATCTAAATCACAATCTTCACCCACCCAAGGAGAGCAAACCAAAGGAAGCCCCATGATCCATGGGGCCCGAGGTAAGCCCAATCTTTCGTCTATTGGGTTTGATTGAAAGCATAACGAGCCTAGCATGGAAGCCGAAGGCCGAAAGGAAACCATGTGGAAATCAACGGAGCAATGTCTGGTTGCCACTATCCGGGTGCTGTAAATCGGGTCAAGAGTAATTTCAATCGCCCAAGAACATTTGGGAACAGGAGCCCAAAAGGACCCAGAATATCCCGCCCTCGATGCGAGGATAAGGTCTTGGCTCTTGCCAGGTCACTGCTGAGTTACCGTTCTACATTAGGTATCCAGAAAAATCCATCAAATTCAACCCAGAGGCAAGCATTTCTACTTCCCGTTACCTAATTTGCTGTGGAAAAACTGGAGGCACTGACCGAACGCTGAACGCCCTCAAAGGGCCCTTTGGCTCAAGGTGCCGAGCTGCTTGACGCGAAAGCCAGCGAGTGCCACGGAAAAAAAGGTGGTTCGCACCCGAGGAGTAGAGGCAACCATAGGCGGTGCCGAAGGCGTAAGGATTAGAGCCCGGCCGTCTTTTTTTTAGTATAAGTGCTGAGTTGCCCATGCTTTGTGCGTTGTTGTTTTTTTGTTTTAATTTATTTTATTTGGTTTTTTTCTGGAGGGAAACCCTGCCAGGAAGAAAGGGTGAGAAGAAAAGGTGGCGTTGGACTGGGCTTTGTAAGGGGCTGACGGCCGGAGCTGCAAGCCTGGGAGGCTCTGAATTCCAGGCACTTCAGCCCATCTCCCGTTGGACGTGCATCGAAGAAAGTGGCGAGGAAGAACGTGTGGTCATTTTTTCACCACACCAATCCAACCTCCAACCCCCAATCCAACCCTCCGAATTCCCTACTGCGACAAGGGGCAGCGAAAGGACTCATGGCCAATGGTAGTTCGTCCCGAGCTACCACCAACTCCCGATCTGCCAATCCTTCCTGCTTCGATGTTCTTTTCAAGGCGATCCGTGTAGAAGGTACCATGGATTTCAACATACATGAACTTCTATGAACGAATATGATTCCGCATGTTTCCTGAGAAGAAAGACTTGCTCAACTGGTTTGCAGCCAAAGAAATGGACCGACCAGTGAGCTCTCCCCCCGCAACCGCGCACGGTGCATGCAGCACATCGCGAGCTGCTTGGGGTCGGTGTGGACACAAGTACCCAGCTACCCAGCGCTGAAGGCTCTCACGGGTAGGAAGGAGCAGGAGCATGCGGACTGCGCATCGAAAGAGCATCGAACGACACCGATTTGGACCGAGCAGCCAAGTCCCACCGGCGAAATTGATGCTCAATGTTGCAAGCGGCAATAGTAACCATCCCTGTGATTCCATTTAATACAATATAACTGAAGGCAACTAAAGGAACCAGCCCTCGTGTCAAATGGACTCTCAGCTCGAAGAAGCGCCCCTTCTGCTTTCAAATGTCAGACTCCATTGAAGATGACACGTCACACTGCCCCAAACTGAATCCCCAGACAAGGGCACTGTCAAGCTAGCGGCACACTCCTTGTGATGGTCGCTGAAAGCCGTCCAAGCAACAATTCTCTCCAAAGGAGCCAAGTCGGGGCCCGATTGCAAAGGGTGCCAAATACAAAGACAAACACAACAAGTGCCTAATGCAAAAAATGTGTTTGCCCAAAAACTTCCGGACCTAGACCGGGGAACAAACGCAACTTCAGTTTTGTGTTGTCCACTTTTGTCCGGAAATGACCCCACTCCCCAAAATTATGGATGTCCTCGCATATTATTTTATACAAAAACGCTCAGCTAACAATATTTCTTGGGTACCACAGCGCCACCCCAGACACTCAATCATCGAATCGAAAAAGAGGCGCACAATTGAGAAACCGTCTTCCCGCCTTTCCCTGTACTAATTGCAATCTCTCTTGCTTCTGAGCTCTGAGCAAGTCAGAAAATCTTGGCAAGCAACACACATATGCTGAGCCAACAAACATTCTAGGGGGTAGGCAAACACACTCAAAAATAAAACTGAGAAAGGGATACCCAATGAGAAACCATTGTCCAGGCCGAAAACAAAAATATGTTTAAACCAATA